TCATCTCCCTCGTCCCCCCTCTTCCTCATCTCTCTCGTCCCCCCTCTTCCTCATCTCCTGTCACTCAGATGCCTTCTGCCACCATCTCTTCCTGACTCCTGACCGAGGCCAACCCCTCTACCTGCTCAAGAAGATCCCCTTCCATCCCACCTCCTCCAGCAGACTGCCCCTGTCATCCCCCTCTCTCACTTGTGGTCAGTCTCTCGCTCCTGCCCATAAACATGCCTATGTCTCCCTTGTCTTGAAAAAATGCTCATTTGGCCCTCCCATCCCCACTCACCATCCTCCTCTATCTCTTCTGCCCTTTGCAGCTCAATTGGGGCTTTCACGTTCTCTCCTCTTCCTCACTTACAGCCTGGTTTCCAACCTCATCATTCTACCAAAACTGCTTTCTCCAAAGTTATTGATCACCTCTTGGTCACCAACACGATGGCCTTTTCTCCGCCCTCTTCCTCCTTCGCCTTTCTGCAGCCTCTGCGCTGCTGATCACTCTCCCCTCTTTGACTCTCTCTTTCTAGGCCTTCAGGATGCTGCTCTCTCTTAGTCTTCCTCCTACAGTCTCTCGTTTCCTTCTCCGTCTCCTTGGCTGGATCCTCTTCCAGATGACACCCTCTAACCACAGGCATGTCCCTCAGGGTCTGTCCCAGACCCTCTTCTCACCTCCTTCCACACTGCTCCACAGGGTGATCTCAGCAGATCCCATGGAACAATTCTCAAATCTACTTATCCTGCCACAAACTCTCTGCTGGCCTCCAATGGCTCATCTCCAACTGCCTTTCAGACATCTCAAACTGGGTGTCCAGTAGACATCTGAAATTCATGATGTTCAAAGCAGAACTCATCATCTTTTCCCCCTAAACTCTCCTGCCACCGCCTTCCCTATCAGTGTAGAGAGCTACACCACTCTCCTAGGTCCTCAGGCTCACACCCCAGGAGTCATCCTGAACGCTTCAGTCTCTTTCACCACCCACGTCCAATATGGCACCAAGGCTTGCAATATCTTCTTGTTGATTTCCCATCTGTGACATCTCTCGAATACTCCCCCTTCTCTCGTCGGACCCTACCCCCACCCTGGTGCAGACCCTCATCACCTCTGCCATCACTGGACTATGGCAGTAGCTGTTGGGGGCTCTGCCTGCCTCGAGTCTCCCCAACTCCAGGCCATCGTCCATTCAGTCACCAAAGGGATTTTCCTAAAGCACAAGTCGGACCATGTCGTGGCACTGATTATGTCAATAAACTCCATCATTTCCAGAATCAAATTCCAAATGCCCTGTTTGGTGTTTAAAGCCCTTCATATCCTAGCCCACTCCTCCCTTTCCCTCACCCCACTCCGCATATTCTCTGATCCAGTGCCCCGGCCTCCTGGCGGTTCCATGAACAAGACCCTCTGTCTCCCAGCTCTGAGCACTTTCTCCGGCTGCCCCCAAGCCTGGAATGCACTCCTTCCTCAGCTCCGCCTACTGACTTTCCCAGCTTCCTTCAAGGCCCCCCTAAAATCCCCCTTCTACACGAAGCCCTCCCCAACCCCTCTTCACTCCAGTGCCTTCCTCCTGTTTATCATGTCCGATTTATCCTGTCTGTAACTTGCTTTGTACATATTTGTTTGCCCTTTGTCTCCCCTCTTAGAATGTAAGCTCTTTGAAGATGGGGATTGCCCTTTACCACTTTTTGTATCCCCACCACTTAGCACAGTGCCTGGAACACAGGAGGGGCTTAATAAAAGTCCAACGATTGACTGACTGATAGAAGAGGAGGTGAAGAGAGGGAGAAGGAGGAGGAGATCTCTATTACAGACGAGGAAACTGAGGCGCAGAAAAATGAAGTGATTCGACAAGACTGAACCAAGGTATTCTGACCCCGGGCCAAGGCTGCATCCGAGTCATTTTTTCAAATATTCTTCCATAGAAAATTACATTCTTCGTTATATACTATATTCATATATATATATATATATATACATGGAGAGAGAGAGAGAGAGAGAGAGAGAGTTGGTCTGGGCCTCAGTGACTCCTCCACCAAATTTAGGGGCTGATACTGCCTCAAGGTGGGAGATAAAACGTGGGTGGGAGGTCTCGCCACGTCCGAGAGAGCCAGGAACGAACAAGCCTTCCGAAGGCCAGGCAGCGACACGCCACTAAAAGGTGGCCCTCAGGGGACCGAGGCCACGGTGCCACAAGGGAGGTGCCTGCCCGGGCACCGAGGGAGGAGATGAGAAATCACGGAGCTCTGCGGGTCCAGCAAGAACCTGGAGGAGCGCACAACGTGAACAAGCCCTGCTTTCCGGTCTTGAGGTTGGAAAGCTGCTCTCTTACCTTCTGTGGTTGGAAATCCTCCGCCGCCTCCACTCTTGGTTTCTGCTAATTTCCCCGTTCGCAGCAAGACCTCCGCAAAGCTCTCTGTCGCAACGTGCTGGTACGCAGTATAGGTCGCTTCAGACTAGGAAAAAGATGAGGGGCTGAAGCCAAGGTCAACAAGGTCTTTTTCTTAAAAGATCACATCGATTTTATTTAGGAGTTACATTCTCTGGATTTGCATTTCAGGGTCATCCAGCTAAGAGCCTCATTTTCAAAAACAAATCATTTTGGGTAAAATGCAAAACCTCCCCTTGTGATCCCCAACTTTGGCAGTGAACGGTGAGCTAAATCACTCAGAAGAGGAGGAGTTAGGACCGGGCAGCAGCAGGTCATTTTCAGGAAGCAAAGAATGTCCCCAGTGCCATGAAATGCCACCACGACGGGCGGGAGAACCCCACAGGAGACAGGGCACAGGGCTCCCTCACGCCTCGCACTCACCTCGGAGACAAAGGGATTGGCCAGGAGGGACTCGTAAAACGGATGGCAGCCCTGCCTCTCCAGGCCTGCGTTGGATCCCGCTCCCCGGCCATAAACATCACAGAAGTCTTGGCCCTAAATGGATCAAAGTGGGGGACAATGCATCAGAAACCCTGGTCTGGGGACTGACACAGCATTACTGCCTGTGACCCGAGGAAAGAGAAGAGAGGGAGATGGGACGGCTGGGTGCGGCCGGTGCTATACACCTGGCGCGTCCCTGGGTACCAGGGGTAGCCACTCATGTCGCTGGATTGACCAGCCTGAGGTCACAGCAGCCAATGAGACAGCTCAGCCTCCGGCCGTGCTTTGTGCCCATCACGAGGCTACTCAAAAGCTCATTTCCAATGCTCTGAAATAGCAGTGACTGCCGGCACGTGCTCGCCTTTCGGAGCATGGCCCAGCACTGATCAATGGCGGAAAAGGTCAGAGCCAACAGGAAGAGCCATGCCCATCCAGGAAGACCCAGAGGCACAGAAGAAAAAGAAGAGAGAAGAGAAATGGCAGAGCAGGCAGGAAGGGTCAAACAGGAGGTGTGGAAGCCTCCAAAGAATGAGTGGATGGCCCCTCCAGAGAGCCAGGGCAGGGAAGAATGGCAGCGGGGAAGAGCTTAGGGGCACAGAACCCACAGGGATGATGGAGGGATGGGCAGCTCTCTTGTGGGATGCCCCTTCGGAGGTCTGTGCATCAGACACACCCACTCCTGCCTCCCCAACCGCCTGCTGGTCATCTCATCTGTGCGGCAGGATCACCTGAGACCAGTGGGCCGGACTGAGCACGGTGGCCCAAAGAAGGTCTGGCACGGGAGCCAGCCTCTGCTGTGCGCTCCTTACGTGCAAGGGTCGGAGGTAGGCCAAGGACTTCTTCCACCACTGCCCATCACTGACAGCATGCAGCATGGCTTTGGTGGTGGTGCTCGTGTTCGAGAAGACCTTCATGGTGGTGGCTGTGGTCCAATGCAGCAGATCTCCCGAGTGGCTGGTTGGGATGCCGGCTTCGTCCTATCACAAATGGCAAGCATTAAAACCTGGAAGGACGAGTCTCTTCACGCCTAATGCCACAGAACGCCACGGCCTGAAGACAAATGGAGTCCACTGAGTTCAACATGACCCTCCCACCCCACCCCATGCCATTTTAAAGGTGCGACACCTAAGGTTGGGACAGGGGAAAGACCTTGTAGGCTTAAATAGGCTTAAATATCGCATGGCCAATATCGCATGATGGTAGACCCAACAGGGAAGGTCCCCAAGCCCAACCTCTTCATCTTCCAGAGAGGAAAAAGGGCCTTGTTGAAAATCACAGAGCTAGGAGAGAGCAGCAGTGATGGAGAAAGGCGATGACACCCAAATGTCAAGTAGAGTTAAGAACTAAAGTCGATGGAAACTTAATAATTCATTCCTAAATAATAAGTCAAAAAAATCGATCAGGGGCAGCCAGGTGGAACAGTGGATAGAGCTCCAGCCTTGGAGTCAGGAGGACCTGAGTTCAAATCCAGCCTCAGACACTTGACACTCACTAGCTGTGTGATCCTGGGCAAGTCATTTAACCCAAAACCTCACCAAAAAAAACTCAGAAAAACAAAAAACAAGAACAAAAAAGAAAACTGTTAAGAAAAATAACATCACAAAAACATAACAAAATTTCTACAATGGCACCATTGGCTTAAAAAAAAACCACTTAAGAATTTTAAACACATGTTCTCTATAAAAAAAGAAAAACAATCAGTGAATTGAGTAGGCAACCAAAACCCAAGAAAACCAACAAATTAATAACAAGCTGAAAGGTGGAAATTCTAAAAATCAAAGGAAAGATAAGTAACTTTGAAAACAAAAAAGACCGAGATGAAGAAATAGAGTGGTGGATCAGTGGAATAGATTAGGTATAAATTACATTATAGCAAATGACCAAAGTATTTTAGTATATGATAAACCCAAACATCCAAGTTTCCGGAACAAAGATTCATCACTTGACAAAAACTGCTGGGAAAACCGGAAAATAGTATGGCAGAAACTAGGTATAACCAATATCTCACACCATATACCAAAATAAGGTCAAAATGAGTACCTGATTTACACATAAAGGGTGATACCATAAGAAAATCAGGAAGGCATGGAATAGTTTATCTGTCAGATCTATGGATAAGGGAAGAATTTAGCACCAAAGAAAACAGAGAGAGTATTACAAAATGTAAAATAGATCATTTTGTATTATATAAAATCAAAAAGGTTTTGTACAAACAAAACCAATGCAATCAAAATTAGAAGGAAAGCAGAAAACTGGGGCAGGAGGGGGGGAGTTTGCAACAAATATGTCAGATAAAGGTCTCATTTCTCAAATGTATGGAGAATTGAGTCAAATTTATTAAAATACAAGTCATTCCCCAATTGATAAATGGTCAAAGGAACAGGCAATTTTCAGACAAAGAAATCAAAGCTATCTATGGTCATATTAAATGCTCTATACCACTATTAAGTAGAGAAATGCAAATTAAAACAACTCTGAGGTACCACCACTTACCTATCAGATTGGCTAATACAACAAAAAAGGAAAATGTTGGATGTTGGAGGGGATGTGGGAAAATGAGATACTAATGCATCATTGGTGGAGTTGTGAACTGATCCAACGATTCTGGAGAGCAATTTGGAACTATGCCCAAAGGGCTATAAAACAGTGCATACCCTTTGATCTAGCAATACCACTGCTAGGTCTACATCCCAAAGACATCCAAAAAAGACCTGTTTGTACAAAAATATTTACAGCAGCTCTTTTTGTGATGGCTAAGGAATTGGACATTGAAGGGAATGGCTAAACAAAATGTGGGATATGACTGTGATGGAATATTATTGCTCTATGAGAAATGACAAGCAGGATGATGTCAGAAAAATTTGGAAAGACTTACATGAAGCAATGAGTGGTGAAGTGAACAGAACTAGGAGAACGTTGTAGACATAACAACGATATTGTTAGACGAAGAACTGTGAATGACTTAGCTATTCTCAGCAATACAATGACCCAAGACAACCCCAAAGGACCAATGATGAAGCATTCTATCCACCTCCAGAGAAAGAACAGATATTGAATACAGACTGAAGCAGGTTATTTTTCACTTTCTTTTATTTTTTTCTTTTATTTGAGATTTCTTGCATGAAATGACTAATATGGAAATGTTTTACTTGATTGCACATGTATAAACCTATATCTGATTGCTTGCTGCCTCAGGGAGGAGGAAGGGGGGAAAGAGGGAGGGATAGAATTTGGAACTCAATTTTTTTTCAAATTGTTAAAAAATTGTTTTAACATCTAATTGGGGGAAAATAATATATATATATATATATTTTAAAAGACAGATGATGAACTAAGAACTATTTTAAGACAAAATGCATAAAGAATTAGTTAATTTGATTTTTTAAGGGAGAAGATGAGCAAATTATCAATATCAAAAAAACAAAAAGGATTATTTTGCAATAAATGGAACAGAAGCAACGAAAAGTATTAGAAACTATTATACTCAATCATATGCCAACAAAAACAATTTTTTCAAATCTATGGTTCACAAAAATATAAAATTAAGATTAACAAAAAAATTTAAACAAACAAGTCTCAGAAAAATTAAAGACATAAACTCCTACTGAAAAACACTAAGATCAGATGAATTTACATGTGAATTGCATTAAACATTTAAATGACAATTAGTCCCTATACTATAGCTACACACACACACACACACACACACACATACACAGCTCATGAAACTAGAGAAAGAGGGCACCTTGCCAAACTCAGGTCCAGCCAGTTCTAAATCTAGGATTCTATTGCTGTAAGACAAACTATGGTCCTGATTACCTAAGCAAGGGAAGGATACATAGAAAAAGAAAATTATAATCAATATCACTAATTAATTTAATATAAAAATATTGAAATGGTAGCTAAGAAGTTGAAGTAATATGCTCAAAAAAGCAATTGCTATGATGAGAATGGGTATAGCAGGACCAAATGGATGGTTCAATATTAGGAAAACTATAACCACAATAAATCATTATCAACAAGAAAATTTTAAATCACATATCAATAGACACAAAAAAGCCTTCAATAGAATGAAGAATGTGTTCATTTTACAAAATCAAAATGGCAAAAATAAAAGGTTCTTTCTTGAAAATGATCAAAAGTAATTATCTAAAACCAAAAGCTACCATTATTTGTAACATGAAAAGACTAGAAGCTTTCTCCATAGCATAAAGGGTAAAGCAAGGATAGCCATTACTTTTATCACATATCTAAACAGAATAGGCAAACATGAGGCAAAATTATATGCAGAGGACATTGTGTCTTACTGAAAGAATTTAAAAATGCAATGAAAAAACTAATTCAAGCAATTGATAGTTTCAATCAAGTAGTAGGACATAAAACAAATCCAAAGAAATGATTTTGCTAACATAACACAGAAGAGAGAGAATTGATTAAAATAATTGCAAAATACACAAAACATTTAGGTCTTAACCTACCAAGGCACACATAAAACATTAAAAAAAATCTTTACAGAAAGAAGGCTTATTCATTATTCATAACTGTGTTGTTCCAGTAGAATGAAAATGGCAATACTACCTAAAATAATGCACAGATTTAGTGCTCCACAAATCACTTTATCAAGGGATCACTATACAGAACTTAACAAAATAATAACGAAATTCATCTGGAGGAACCGAGAGCCTAGAATATTAAGGAGAATAATGAAGAGGGGGAGGCGGGGAAGGTAACTCAGAATGTGAACAAATGAGCCTCTCTATTGGGCTCCCTGCCTCAAGCCTCCCTCTTCTGCCATCTGGCCCCAAAGCCTAACATTGATGCTGTTCCTGCCCTGCTCAGAAACCTCCACTAGCTCTCAGTTACCTCACTGCTAGCCTTTCACCACCCAGGTTTATTACGTACCACTCAGCTTTGTGCTATGCTCGCAGAATCACAGAATGTGAGCCTTCGGGAAGGATCTCAGCAGCCACCATCTTGTCCAACTCATCCACGAAAGAAACCTCACTATGAACAGCTTGACCAGTGGTCAGTCAGAGTTCGGCCCGGCCAAACCATCCTGCTGGCCATCTCCCCTCTGGCCTCTAAGCAGCCCTCTCTGGCTCTCCCTCTCAGCATCTCTAGCGCCTTTCCACGCTCTGCTCCATGGCAACCTCCTAGCGCAGGGCTGTCTGGGCCCCCTGGCTCTTATGCAGTTATCTGGTACAGACCTTGCACACATGCATTTACATGTGTGTCCACAAATGACATATGCAGATATACGTTTTGTTTCCCTCTTTGAATAGGTAAACTCCTCAGTAGCAGGGACCATTTCACAGAGCCTGCCACAAAAGAGGCACTTACGAGTGGTTGCTGCCTCACTGCCAAGGCACAGAAAGGGAGCATCGTGCAGACTGACCTGCTGGAAAGCAGAGTGGTGAGGGGGTCAGCAGGCCCTGAGCCAAGGAAGAAGGCCAGGAGCAGCCTCTGTGGGAAGGGCTCGTGCTCGACTCTAGAGGGCAGAGGGACGCACACGGCCACACTACACTTTGGCCCAGTCCAGGAGGCAGCGGCTTGGAAGACGGACCCTAAAGAAGAGCTGCCGGCTGGGAGGCCCCCTGAGGCTGGGGCAAGGACTGAGGGGAAGGCCCCCAGCAACCAAAACACTTTTTGTGAGTAAGGGCACAGCAACGGACAGCTATGGCCAAATGTGAAGGCTGAGAGAATCTCTAGCAGCCTGTCATGACCTGATGCAGTGAAGGAGGCAGGACCAAGGACAGCACCCAGAGCAGGGCCCATGCCTCTCCCCTCTCCTTGCCTCTCCTCTCTCCTCTCCTCTCCTCTCGTCCCCTCCCCTCCCCTCCCCTCTCTCTTCTCCTCCCCTCCCTTTTCCTCTCCTCTCTCTTCTCCCTTCTCCCCTACTGTGCCCTCTCCTTCCCTGTCTCCTC